CCAAGAAGCATTTACTGATTGATCCAAATAAAAGTGAGATATGGATGTAGCAACACATTTTAAAAGTAGTCCAAACTCCCGATAAGTGTCTGTCTGCACCACCCAGGAGAGATAAGGGGTATCTCCATAAGGGATGCATGAACCGCTAAGTGAATGTTACCTGTGGTCCATTACATCTCTCACGTCTGTTATTTTCTGCAAAGAAGTCTTAGATCCTGTAGTTTCTACTTACCTCACACAGTTGTTGGCAAATGGTAAAGTATTCCACGCATTGAGGACATTATCGTGGTTACTAATTATCACTTTATTTTAACTGATGATGATGATGGCTATCTCGGGTAACTAGTACTTTCTGCCTCCTAGGCATTATTTTAAGCTGTTTCGGTTTGAAATCATTCAGTTTTCCTAACAACTAGACATAGAATTTACTATTGAATATCCACTTCACAAGAGACAAACTGAGGCACAAGAAGTAACTTAAGTGGAAGAACTCAGACAGTTCAATTAATCAAACAAGGAGGTAATTGGACTGATGTGGCTTTAATGATGTGGTGGCCTACATAAACCAAGATCTAAGCCTGTAAATGCCTCAGGGATATGAAACTGAACTGTCACAAACTGCCAATTAGGCTTTATGCTATAGCAAATCAATCATTTCCTTGCTTTGCGTCCTTCCTTTTTTAAATAAAAATCTAACTGCAGCTCCTGTGGATGGATAGCTCTTGAACACTTCCAGTTTGGTGCTGCCCTAATTGAATCTATTCTTGCTCAAATAAACTCTGAAAAACTTCAATATGCCTCAGTTTGTCTTTTAACATTGGTCTTAGAACTTGGATTTGCATCCAGTTTCTAGAACAGTGGTAGGCCTCTGGTCAGGCCTTAGACATTATGTTTACAGCATTCCTCTTCTACCCACTACCGACACACACACATACACACACACACCCCCCACTACACTAAAATCCCCTAGATGTGGTCGGCGATGACTTTTACATGCAACATGCCCAAATTATAATATAGCGAACACTCCTCTATCCTCCAACCAGTTTGTGAAATGAAACATCACCCTTCCTGTTGAAGAGTCTTGTGTAACCACTTTCTGAATCACAACTATTCCTCAACTGACCCTGAGTAACCACTTTTCTGAACTTGATACTCATCATTGCAATGTATGTCTTTATATTTATGTTACATTTGTAAATATTCTTAACTAGCATATAACATTCTACTACGTTTTCTTCTGCTGCTTGCTTTATGTTATTTTTACTAGGATCATCCATGCTGACATGTAAAGATCTATCTAGTTCATGTTGCTCTATAGGATGCCCATGCAGGAAAATACAGTCATTTATTTGTGTATTTTCCTGTTGATGGAAATTTAAATTGTTACCAATTTTCATGATGCTTTCTTTTTAATTTTTTTTCACTGTGACATTAACTATTTTTTTTGTAAGTCGTTTTTTCCTCTGTGATTTATCATAAC